CAGATCCCCAGAGGAGGAGGAATGTCTCCCTCTCGGTGTCTATTGAGTGCCATCTAATGTCCTGATGGTAGAACTCGTCAAATATCTGAAGCCAACAGCTTCAGAAAAAAATAAGAAGAAAATTCACTCTCTTTCGGGAGAGTGTTTGTTAAATAATGCCATGCACAATGCGGCAGCGGTACCGAACTTGCTATTTTATTGCTTGCTTTTTCTTGATTTGCCATGACAGGATTTTTAACTTTGGTATTTGCTTTGCAGTCCAACTTCCTTGCTTCCGAGGGCCTTAAAAAATTGATCCTTCATAAAAAAGGACTCAAGTCCGAGCGGGATCAGTTGTTGGCCGAGAGGGACCAAATATTTGCTCGCCCCCAGTTGCTGGAAGCAAAAGCTGTTGAGGCGAGTGAGTTAGAGGATCGGTTGCAACAGAGTGAGCAGGAACTGATGGTCATCAGCCAAAAAGCCTCTCAGCTAAATGTACGGTTTCAAGAAGCTAAGGTTAAGTGGGCTGAGTTCCAAGATGTTGTGCTCGCTACTGCCGAGCACGAATCAGCCTCCATTGAAAAGAGCAAATAACTTGGAGGCAGCCTTGAACTCCGAAGCCGAAGAGGTTACTGTTGCCGAGGAGAAGCGTGCCCAGATGGAGGATAGGTATAAGAGGATCATGGAACATAATAAGGTTCATATAACCACTATCCGTGATCTTGATCTTAGTCTTAGTGCCACGAGATCCGAGCGGGGTGGCCTTCTGACCGAGGTTGATAGGCTTAAACCAGAACTTCAGCACCGAGCGGATTCCCTCATCATCGAAAAAACACTTTCTATGTATAATATGAGGAGAAAAACCTTGGAAGAGGCCAAAGCGGGCGTCATTGATATTGACAATGAGATTGCCAAGGCCCGAGAGTTGTAGTTAACTGCTCAAGGATGCCTCCCAAATTAGCCTGATGCAAATGACTCTTCTGGTTTTGATTCCTGACAATGAAATCGGAACTGAGGAAGAATTTGATGAGAATAATGATGAAGGCCAAGATCCTGAGCCGACGGTAGATCCGCCTACTTCTCTCGGGGGCGCTGATGCTTCTCTTCCCCTGAGTTCTAGGGATGCCATAATTTAGCTTTTTGCTTTCTTTTCCTTTGTTGCTCTTTGTATTTCTATACTTGTGCTGCTTGGCACGTTTTATAAATAAAAGTGCTTTTCTGTTTAAGCATTGCGCAAAATATATTCTTTTTGCGCCAGATTAGGCAAGGTGTCAGGTGCATTTTCCCCGATAGCATTTGGGTTCCGCGCATAAATGCCCTTTACTGTGAGAGTTTCATAATAGAGGGACCTCTTATGTCTACGGTGCTCTTGAAGAGGACGTCTCTTATTCATTTTGGCACTAGCATTTGAAGTGCTTGGTTAACTTTCTAATGATAAAATCAATTCATCGTTTGGATAAGAAACAAGATAAAAATAAAAGGACTTAATTTTATTTCTTCTATCTTCAAAAATACATAAGCATTCATTTTTTTTGAAAGAAAAGAAATTGCCATTACATGCTAATTTGTACAACTTGTTTCTACGGGGTTGGCTGTACAGTCCCCTGGTCCTGATAAGACATTTTTATTCCCGATTTCTATGGAAATCAGGTTGCCATATTCTCATATTATTCCACCTAGTGTTCGAATGCGAAGAATGCGAATTGGAACACTGGAAGTCTTGCTCCTTTTAGGATTCCGCTAGCGAATGGTTGGATAATCTTTTGTTCGATAGAAAGCTTCTTTTCCCGTTAGGAATTTTGATATCGAGCAAAAGATTATCTAACCACACCCTAGTGGCTTATAGGAAAGAGCACTCGTGAACAGTTGAATAACCTTTGGTCCGATGGCAAGTTTTGGTTCCCGTTAGGCATTTGGCATCAAGCCAAAGACTATCTAACCATCCCGCAATGGTTTGTTGTTTCCATGCCCTGTCACATAAAGGTCTTATTTCTGCTGATGACATTTTCTTCGGTATGCTTTCCATTGCTGTCTCATTAAACCTTGCTAGAAAAACCCAATTGGGATAAAAAATGGACGAAGGGAAAAAGAGTGCAATATATACTTTCAGTACAACCAGTGCTTATCATCAATAATACCTTTTGAGGTGAGTCACATTCTAGTTGTTCGACAATTTGACCCCATCTTGGTTTTCTAGTTCGTATGATCCTTTCTTGGTGACAGTTGAAACCCGATAGGGGCCTTCCCATGTCGGACTCAGCTTTCCTGCGTTGAGCTCTCGGGTGTTTTTGAGTCACCTTTCTTAAAACCAAGTTTTCCACTTTGAAATAATAGAGATTGGCCCTTTGATTATAATACCTTTCCATTCTTTGGTTCTGGGCCACCATCCGTATGTGTGCCAAGTCCCTGCGTTCATCAAGCAGCTCCAATTTGACTAGTAGTGCTTCATTATTTATTTCTTTATCCGTCCGGAAGTATCGCAAGGTTGCTTCTCCTAGTTTCGCTAGGATTAGAGCTTCTGATCCATATATGAGAGAGAAAAGTGCTTCTCCCATGCTTAACTTGGCCATTGTCCGGTATGCCCACAGCACTCTCGGTAACTCTTCGGGCCACTTGCCTTTGGCTGCTTCCAACCTCTTTTTGAGGTTTTGAATAATCACCTTATTGGTTGATTCCGCCTGCCTATATGTGCTCGGATGGTATGGCGAAGATGTAATTCTTTTAATCTTCAAGTTTTCAAAGAATTTGTGACCTTTGAGCCTATGAACTGTGGCCCGTTGTCGTAGGCAATCTCCTTCAGTATCCTAAACCGGCAGATTTTGTTTTCCCATAGGAAATTGGCCACATCGCGCTTGCCGATTTTCTAGTAAGGTCCTGCTTCAACCCACTTAGTGAAGTAATCAATTAAAATTAAAAAAAAAACTTACCTTTCTAGGAGCCGGTGGCAGCGGTCCGACTATACCCTCATTTCATGAATGGCCGTGGGGATAATATCAAATGCAGCGGTTCTGTTGGTTAATGTACTAACGACGCATGGCGTTGACACTTATCGTATTTCTGAACGAATGCCTTAGCATCTTGTTCCATCCCGAGCCAGTAGTATCATGCCCTAACTAATTTTAACACCAACGAATTTGTACCTGAATGATTTTCACAAATTCCTTCGTGAACCTCTCTCATGACGTAATTAGCCTCAGAGGCTTCTAAGCATCGGGCCAACGGGACTTGGAACGACCTTCTGTATAATTGTCCTCCCAAGAAACTGTAACGAGCTGCTTTAGTGTAGAGTGCCCGAGATGCCTTCGGGTCTTCGGGCTTGTAGTGATCAAGGTAGTCGATGATTTCATTCCTCAAGTCCTAGACCAGGTTATTTGTATTTACTTCATAATAAATGTCCACATCCAGTACCGAGTGCATGAGCTGTATGACCGTACCAAAATCCGACCCCTTCATTTTCGTGGATGATCCTAGATTGGCCAATGCATCAGCCTCTGCATTTTTTTCTCTCGGGATGTGGGTGATTGACCATTCCCTGAACCGCGCAAGTAGAGTTTGAACTTTAACCACATATTGTTGCATGCTTTTCTCATTGGTGTCGAAGATCCCATATACTTGATTTACCACTAATTGGGAATCACATTTGATTTCAATGACCTCAGAGTTTAGTCCCCGGGCCAATTCAAGTCCTGCAATTAAAGCCTCATACTCGGCTTCATTGTTAGTCAAGGAAAAAGTTTTTATGGCCTGCCTTAGGACTTCTCCCGAGGGCGTGATTAAGACTAACCCAAGCCCGGACCCCTTCACATTGGAGGCTCCATCCGCGAACAAGGTCCAAACTCCTAACGTCATTTCCGACACAATCACCGCTTCCTTTATAGCCAAAGGCAGTAGCCTGGGGTTGAAATTGGCCACGAAGTAGTCCATAACTTGTAATTTGATCGCGGTCTGGGGATTATATTCGATATTAAATTCACTAATCTCAACTGACCATTTGGTTAGTCAATCGGACAACTCAAGTTTGTGAAGGACATTCCGCAGGGGAAAAGTTGTCGCCACGGCTATCAGGTGGCACTGAAAATAAGATCCAAGCTTTCAAGTGGTGACTACGAGAGCTAAGGGAAATTTTTTAAGGTGTGGATAACGAGTTTTCGCTCCTAATAAAATTCTGCTAACATAATAGATAGGAGATTGTGCTTCTTCATCCTCTCGGACTAGAGCGGCGCTTACCGCTACCTCCGAGACCGCTAAGTATATTAGCAATTGTTCGCCTTCCTCCGATTTTGATAGTAGCGGAGGGCTTGATAGATACCATTTCAGGTATTTTAAAGCCTGTTGATATTCCGGAGTCCATTCGAAGTTTTTTTTCTTCTTCAAAAGTGAGAGAAGTTATGGCATTTCTCAGAAGATTGAGAAATGAACTTGCTTAGAGCGACGAGTCTTCCGGTTAGTCTTTGGACTTCTTTCACGTTTGTCAGCTGGTCTGGAATGTCCTCGATGGCTTTAATCTTATTGACTTCGATCCCCCTTTGTGACACTAGGAAACCCAAAAATTTACTGGAGCTGACTCCGAACGCATACTTTTCGGGGTTAAGCTTCATGTTGTGCTTCCTTAGGATGTCAAAGGTTTCCTCTTCTTTAACAAACCTATTTCTAAACTCGGCAATTGGGTGCTTCTTTTGCCTTACCGGCGAGATGCTTGGGTCCAGGCTTAGCTTCTGCACGGCCATATTTAGTGGGATATTTGTCATATCCGCATGCAACCATGCAATAAAATCAACGTTAGTTTTAAAAAATTTAATAAATCCTGACCTGAGTTCAGGGTTTAATTTTGTCCACAAGCGGAACTTACTCTCTAGAAGCTTTTCAGATAATGCCACTTGTTTGAGTTTTTCTGTCGTGGACTTCGTCGTGTCTATTTCTTCCGGTACCTAGAAATACCTTGGTACCTGGTGGGATTCCGACGGCTCCTCCCCTTTGCCGCCTTCGTTTGGTTCAGGAGCAGGCGTTAGTTCCTATAATTGCTATGCCGCGTATTCCTTCCCTTTACTGTTGGAAACCGAGATCGCATTCATCTGCCTTTCTGCCGGTTGATTTCCTCTTATTTGTTTGATTCCTTCTGGAGTTCGGAATTTCAGAAGTTGGTGATATATTGATGGTATGGTCTCCATCTCGTGTAGCCATGGTCTGCCAAGAATTATGTTGTAGCCCATTTCGCCGTCTACTACTTCAAATAAGGTAGTCTTCATGACCCCGTTGGCGTTCGTGGGCAGAAAGATCTTCCTTCGGGTTGTCATACTTGCTAAGTTGAACCCGACAAAGAGCTTTGTTGCTAGAATGATGCTTCCGGTTAGCTTGCTTGATCCAACACTCTCCATTGAATGATGTTAGCTGAACTTCCTAGGTCCACCAAAACACATTTACTTTTAAAATCTAAAACGTTAAGAGAAATTACCAGGGCATCATTGTGCGGCAGTATAAGTCCATCGGGGTCCTTTTCTGTGACGGTGATGTCGTCCTCGGCGACTTCCCAAAGTTTGTTGCTTTATAGTCATCGATACTTTTGTCTTTTTTGCTGCCGAGAAGGTTACACTATTGATCTTGTTTCCCCCAAAAATCATGTTGATGGTTAGCCAGGGAGGGTCTTCACCTATCTTAGAGGGCTCTACATTGTCCCGACTGTGACTGTGATTATTTTTAGCCCGTTCGCTTAAGAACTCTCTGAGATGGCCATTTTTTCAACAACGTTGCCACCTCCTCGTGTAGATGTCGGCAGTCCCCAGTTCGGTGGTTGTTACTCCCATGATACTCGCACCATAGATTAGGATTCCTCTAGCTGGGACTAGATCTCATCGGCCTCCGGAACCGCGCTTCCTTGATGTTCCTCATGGCCTATACAAGCTCCACTATGCTGACATTGAAATTGTACTCGAACATCCTGGGATAAGTGGAATCCCAGGAACCTGATACCTCTTATCGTGTAATGACCTATTATTCCGGTCGCGTTTAGTTCTTCTATTATGAGCGAACCTATCCGCCGACCGGAACCCTCTACCGCATCCTTTGGCCTTTTCGTAAGGCAAAAACCAACACTTAGAAAATCGTCGATATGCGTCAAAATCATCCTTCGATTTATCCCTATTCTTTTCTTGATCCCGACCCTTAGTTGATACCAGAAACCCGCGTTGATCATCTTCTATTTTTATCTTTGATTGTAACGGTTATGTTCATCTGCCCATGTAGTTGTCTGGAACTCGAGTAGGCTTTCTTTCAGTTTCTGGGAGGTGTTGGAGCTCCTCAAGTTCAACCCTTCCCATTCAGTTGGCACGGCCGGTAGCTGTGATAAGTTAGGATTTTAAAGTGTTTATGTCCCTACTTGCCTATGCTTTGAGTATAAATTGATACAAAAATAGTCCCAAAATGCTCACAAGTTGTGCTTGATTGCAGGGTTGATTGACAAAGTGACGAAATGTCAAAGATCGGCTCAAAAAGGAGTGAAACCTACTCAAGTATCAAAGACCAAGAGAAGTGAAGAAAAAGGGGCCTAGTGCGGACTGCGTAACAATGACCGCGGCCGCACTAGGAGGTTCAGAGAATGGACAGTTTCAAGCTTAAGGTCACGCGGCTGCGGTAGGATTCACGCGGCCCGCGAAGAAGTTGCACGGCCGCACTCTTACTCTGCGTGGTTCGCGTTCATAGGGTTCAACAAAGGGCATTTGTCCTCACGCGGTCCGCGGTCACGTCTGCGCAGACCGCGCCAGTTGCCTTCGCGGCCGTGGTACACTCCGACGCGGTCTGCATCCCCTAGTTCAAGTCATCAAACAACTGAAGCCCAAGAGCCAGTGCGGCCGCGGTCCATTTTGTGCGGCCCGCACTGACCCTACAGGGGTATTTTTGTCTAGTTTTTCCAGCCTAGTATAAATAGAATATTTTACTATTTTTTAAGAGAGCGGTCAGATCTGAGAACAAAAGAACAACTGCACTTGGTGTTGTAGCCATTTTTGGCATATTTGCTTCCCATTAACAATAGATTATTGTANTTGGGGTAGCAAGCAGACAAACATGTCCGAGGATGCGTTGAGATTGAGGCTTTTTCCTTTCTCTCTTCGGGGTAAAGCATTGGATTGGTTAGAAAGGCTCCCCAATCATTCTATTACAACATGGGATGAATTGGCGGACAAATTTATTGCCAACTTATTCTCTCCAAGTCATATGGTAGCTCTTCGGGATGAAATTCTAGCTTTCAAGCAACAGCCAACGGAACCTTTGCACGAGATATGGGAAAGATATAGAATAATGGTGAAAGAATGCCCTAATAACGACATGACCGAGGCTATGATTCAAGAAACATTTTATCGGGGCATCAACACCACAAATCAATGCATTGTGAACCAATTTGTCGGAGGGAACTTTATGAAACTTTCTTACCAAGAGGCATGTGATGTACTTGATGAAATGGCCGACACCTTTTCGGCATGGCAAAGCCGAGCAAATGTGCCCCAAGGTGACCCCACGGTGGTCATCCATTTGCATAAGGAATTGCGCGATCATAGCCAAGCCATCGCCGAGCTTACAACAACTATGAATCAATTGGCAAAGGCACAATTGCAATAAGTCCAAAACTCGCGCCAAGTCAATGCAATGGAAGGTAAACTTCTATGTTGAAAAGGAGGCAAAGAGGACAACAACCTCAAGGTAATTGTGAACAATATGACAACAACAATGATGGTGGTGGTTATTCAAATGAGTTCTATGATGATCAAAGAGAAGAGGTCCAATATGTCAACAACTACCAAGGGAATAGAGGTAACTCTTCAACTCAACAATGGCGTCCTCAAGGAAATTGGGGCAATCAAAAACAAGGCGGAGGTAATTGGAATAACAACAACCAAAACAACAATTGGGGTAATCAAAGCAACCAAGGAAATTGGAATGGTAGTAACAATAATTGGAGCAACAACAACAATCAAGGAGGGTGGAACAATAGCGGGAACCAAGGTAATCGGGGGCAAAGCTTTCAAAGGCCCCCCATGTACTAACAACCGAACAACCCACCCCCCTTTCCTTCTCAAGGTCCGAGTTCGTCCGGAAGTGATATGGGAGAATTGAAAGCATGTTCGAGCAAATGATGAAAAAGAACCAAGATTCTGAGGTCCAACTAGCTTCGCATAACACATCTATCCGGAACTTGGAAGTGCAATTAGGCCAAATCTCTCAAGCATTGAATACTCATCCCAAGGGTGCGCTACCAAGTGATACGGTGGTGAATCCGAAGGGTGGGAATAATAATCATGTAATGGCGGTTACAACAAGAAGTGGGAGAGGCAGTGATGTAAATGCCTCAATGCAAAAGCAAGTTATGGATGAAGACGTTGAGTTACGGGATGATGATGTACCTTTGATTGTTGATGATGTGGTTAATCAAAATGCGAACAATGATGTGCGGATTGATATTAATGATGAGGCCGAGGTAGAGACTCAAGATGCCGTGAACCCGTCTAGGGAACACGTGATTGACATGCCCGAGCCGGTTGTACAAAAAGCCAAGGCACCTTTGCCTAGGCCACCTCCACCTTATCCTCAACGATCAGCAAAGCAAAAGAGTGACAATCAATTCAAAAAATTCATTGACATGATGAAGAGCCTCACAATCAATGTCCCTTTGGTTGAGGCACTTGAGCAAATGCCAGGGTATGCAAAGTTCATGAAAGATTTGGTTACAAAGAAGAGGTCGATGGAGTGTGAAACAATTAAGATGACTCATCAAGTGAGTGCCATAGTGCATTCAATGGCACCCAAGCTTGAGGATCCCGGAGCTTTTACTATCCCATGTACTATCGGAAGTGCGGATTTTGCTAAATCCCTTTGTGACTTGGGGGCTAGTATTAATTTGATGTCGTACTCGGTCTTCAAGACTTTGGGAATTGGGCAACCTCGACCTACCTCAATGAGACTTCAAATGGCGGATCGATC